AATTGGATGGAGGGGGGCCCAGGGAGCCAGGGAGATGGCTCAGTGGAATAAGCGCTTCCCTGGCAAGTGCAAGGGCATGAGTTCAATCCCTGGTTCCGCAAAAAAAAAAGAACTGGATGGAGTGGGGCCGGGGAGATAGCTCAGTAGAATAGGCACTTGCCTGGCAAGTGCAAGGGCCTGGGATGGGATTGGGCCCTGAGTTTATTTTTTTATTTTTAAACAAGTGTTGCTGATATTTATTATTTTATTTTTGGTGGAACTGGGGATTGAACTCCGGCCCTTTACACTTGCCAAGGAAGCACTTATTCCACTGAGCCATCTCCCCAGCCCTGGGCCCTGAGTTTAAATCTCCGGTATCAGGTGACAGAGACAGAGACACAGACAGACAGACAGACATAAACAGACAGGGACAGACAGGCAAGGGGAGGTGGGGGTTAAGGGGGAGACAGAAGGGCATGGATGGCACAAGTCTGTAATCCCAGCACTTGGGAGTCTCAGACAGATGACTACAAATTCAAGGCCAGCCTAGGCTGCACAGTGAGTTCAAGACTACTCTGAACTACACAGCCAAACCCTGTCTCAAAAACTGTGTGGTATGTGCGCACACGTGCACACACGTACACACGTACACACATGTGTGTATAGACTGAATTGATAACTATGTCAAGAAAATTCAGGGCCTGGGTGATGGCTCAGTGGAATAAGTGCTTGTGGCCTGAGTTCAATCCCTGGTTCCGCAAAAAAAAAAAAGAAAATTAATCACCAGTGAAACAACTTATTCAGAAATGTTCTGATTTTTACAGCATTTATCTCAGGTTTAAGATTTAAAACTGGGGGCCGGGGAGATGGCTCAGTGGAATAAGCGCTTCCCTGGCAAGCACAGAGGTCTGAGTTCAATCCCTGGTTCTGACCAAAAAAAAAAAAAAAAAGACTTAAAATTATTTCATTCTAGAAGAGTTTCTGTACATCCAACAAATCACAATTAACTTTCTTGTGTGAAAGCAGAGCCTCAGATATGGAGAGATGGGGACACCTCTTAAAAATCTTTTGAACAGGAAGGGAAGTTTCACAGTTCTTTCCTTCCTTCTTCCTTTAGTTGCTGCTTTTCTGTTTTTAGAATTTCAAACAAAGAAAATACATATTTGCTCCACACTAAGAAACGCCCTCTTTCTTAGCAGCTTCCTCTTCCAATTTTCTTCCCCCCACTGACACAATGAAAATACCCACGGCCAGACCTATTTTGATTAACACAAAGCTGTAAAGTTTGAAAAGATTAAGGGTTGCAATTTATGGTACCCAACAACTGCCTATCCCAAGTCCATAATCTTTACTCTGCTAGAAGTAAGATAATGGACAAAACAAAGAAAAAAAAAAATAAGCTTAATTAGAGGCAAGCTATTATGCCTTTCATCCCAAGAAAACCAAAGAAATTGGAACCAATAATGAGAAATTTCTCCCACCCCAACAAATGGGACATTCTTAGGAAGAAAAAACACATTGGGCTGGCAAGACCCTGAATTAAAAGTTAAGTCTCTACTAGTGATGGTGAATTTGTCACTACAGGACATCCAATCAGAGAACTCAGTTTGTTCTCTGAGGTTCTGACACACTTTAAAGTGACTTTTACAACTTAGAAATTAACTCACAGACAGAACAAAGAATGGACTTATAATTAACCATCCAGAGATCCAGAACAGCCTATGTCAGAAGTCAAATCAAGTATTTGGAACCAGATCCCTCCTGCTCTCCATTTGTGACAAAACAAACTCCCCTAATACCATCTTTTAAGTGAGCAATGATTTGCCCTTTGCCCTTTGCCAGTGAGTCTCAGAGAAAACACTTCCAGTTTGGTAAATGCTGCATTTAACTGTGTGCTCTCAAACAGTTTCCTTCTGTGTAAATTTTCTAGAGTAGCTGAAAAAATTAAACAAAAACATATGCCAACGTTTGGCATATAGTAGGAATACCATAAAAGTTGTTCTCCTCCTTCCTCCTGACTTCTGAGCCTAAATTCCAATCAGCTCCAAGGAATCGCCAAGGATGCCCTCCCAATTTCTATGTATAAAACTTTCCCACCCCAGAGGCCCTAAGGTGGCCGGGGGACCAGGACCCCATCATGATCTGATCTGGGTAGTGCCCAACGCCTTCGTGGAAGAGGCCCCTGTAGACAACTCGCTTCCTTACTCTGGCGCGCGCGCGTGTGTGTCCCTTAGCAAGCCAGGACCTCAAAGAGCACCTCAATTACTTCACGGTCCAGAGCTGGAATCTGAGACTTATCCTGAGTAAGAATGGAAGTGACTTGTCCAAGACCATGCCAACGAGTTAGTGGCAGCGCCAGTAAGCTCAGGACAGTTTCGCAGCCTCACAGACTAGAGAGCACTTCCCAATCTCCGAGGGGGACTCCGAATCTCTCCTTCCCTGCGGAGTGGACTAAGACGCCGCCCAGGGCTGACCGCCCGCCGGATTCTGAGAGTCCAAGACAGAAGAAGGCTCGGCGACCATCCCCCGTGCACCCGCGGGGCTTTGAGGGGCGGCCCAGCCGGGGCCAGCGTCTCACTACGGGTTCCGCCCAAGAGGACTTGTTGCTCACCTGGACTTGCTCAGTCGCCCTCAGACACAGGAAGGGCCGGCCTCCCACCCAGTCTCCGAACAGGGTCTGTTCCTACCGACCGACTCTCAGGGCGGCCACACAGCTGGACCCCCTCAACGCGCTACGCCCCCAGCTGTGCTACTCCGGTCCGCGTCCGCCATTACGCGATTCCCCGCCCTGGGACACAGCCACACCCCGCCAGAGGTCCTGATTGGCTCTCCTCCACACCCTCCCTGGGCTTCTGGCCATTTCATTGGTCAGAATTAGCTGCCAATTAGTTAACTACGCAAAAGACGTACTCTGGGGTACAGTCCCTGGGGCTCCGCCCGACCGACTTCCGCAATCGGAGTAAACAGCGGAGGGCAAACCAAGTGAAGTAGGGGTAGCGATTAAGGCTAATCAGCTCTTAATTTCATAGTGGAAAAATATTACCAAATAAAGTGTAAAAACTTGCCCAAAGTGTATTGAAAAACGAGTTCTTCTTGTTGAGAGTTCAAAGAACTAGTCTTTTCTATAAAAAGAGGGCGCTAAACCTATGAACTTTCTGCAGACACCCCTCAAACAGCAGATAGTTTTGTCTCTTCACGCCGGGTCTCTGACCCCGCGGAAAGTAGGGTGGGGACAATGAGTCACAGGATCTTTCCTTCCCCAAAAGAATCTTTCCTGAGCGAAGCTTGGGATCTGGGACTCTGAGCTAGTTCTGAGAAGCCGCTGCCAGGTGAGCTGGACCCAAGTTCAACTGCTACCTCAATTTGTGACCGTAGACAGCTCCCAGAATTTATCTGGGTCTCAGTTTGTCCTTCTGTAAAATAGGCACAGTAGGCTCAGGCATATCCTCCCTCACATGCTGAAGTGGTTCTTTGAGGATTCGTGCCTGAGTGGACATAAGCGCCCCTTGTTGATGATAGAAAGCTACACCTGGATGGTAATGTGACAGATGCACAAGTTAGCAAAGGTACCTCACTTAGTTCTCTAGAGCAATCCTATAAGGCAGGTACAATTCACAGCTTGTAAAAAAAAAAAAACAACACAAAACAACAAACAAAAAAAAGTGTCTCCATGACTGTGTGACTCAGGATTGCCTGAAGAATTGGAAATGGGTGTGCTCAGAGGAGGGGGCCTGAAGAATGGCTCTTCGGTTTAAAACACTCCCAATAGGAATCTGAGTCCATTGGTTTTTGTGGGGTTTTTTGGTTTGTTTGTTTGTTCCCCCGGAACCGGGGATTGAACTCAGGCCCTTGCGCTTGCCAGGGAAGCGCTTATTCCACTGAGCCATTTCCCGGGCCCCATGAGTCCATTGTTAAGAGGGCACAAACTGTGTGGCCCTACTATCAACAGAGAAAGGCCTTACAGGTGGGGGAAAAAGAAAAGAGAAAAAAAAAAAAAAAAAAAAAAAAAAGAATTGGAAACAACCCAGAAACTCAAATCTGTATCATTCCTGTATTACCCTCACACAGTATGGTGGCACATGAGAAAGGGCAGGGTTGGGCCTAAGGGTACCAGGCGCCACCTTTCTCTTTGGTCACCATAGACTTGGGTGTTGCCCCCCCCACCCTGCCCCCGGCTAGTGTTGATAAACACCCCAGAAATGTACCCAAGCTGTTTCTGGGATCCTTAGTGGTACAAGGGAATGAAATTCCCAACCTGAAAGATACCTGGGCAGCATTCGTGTTCTCTAAAACTGAAGAATGAATTTTAGGAACAACCGCGGTTAAGAGCAGAATATATTTAGTGGGGGAAAGAAGCTCCTGTCTGACAGAAGGATAGAAGAGGGACTGAGTGGGTTTCCCGGAAGCTGTGTCTTCCAGGGGTTTTTATTGAGTGAAACCATGTGGTGAGGCAGGTCTGAGGTGGAGAACATGGGAACTCACTTACGTGGGCATGAGGTGGGACAAAACCATGGTCAACCAATGAGATTACAAGCACAACTGCTCAGGTAAAATGGATTAAATCCAGGACTAAATGGAGAAGCCAGGCACGTAGCAAGAGGGCATGGCAAGCAGGCATGAATACAGAACCCGGGCTTTTCCTACAGGGGACTGGGTTAGTGACTTCCGGGAGTCCTAAAGTGAGAGACTCATTAGAATATCAATCCTGGATGCCTATCTTTAGGGAGGTAGGTGGTTGCATTTGTTTACTCTTTTGTCTTGAGGTCCAGCCCACAGCAGGGGTCTTTGTCTCCCAAAGTTGCAAAATCATCTTGTCTTCCGTACTGTCTCCTTGAGGGCCTCGCTTTGTCTGACTGCCTATAATATTTCTTTCTAACTCAGCTACCTGCAACATTGGGAATCAGAGCCTCACATGGTTTTACACTATAAAAGTCCCTGAAAGAGAAAGCTTTGAGGGGAACTATCCGCTCGGGCCCACCTCCTGTCCTTCTCTTGGACAGGAGCTTTCTTTCTCTCAATAAATATATTCTGGGGCTGGAGAGATGGCTCAGTGGTCTAAAGCACCTACTTGAAACAAGCTTGGCAAAACACAGGGATGGCGGTTCAATCCCCCAGCACCACATGCCAGCCAGCCCCGCCCCCTGGTGGGCTGAGCTGGCCACACACACATACACACAATAAATAAATAAATGTTTAAAAAATAAAAAA